CAAACATTCACTTTTTAAAATGAATGTATAAAAAGTGACATGGCTGAAAAAACGACCTTAATGTTTCTGATTCTAGTGGGAATACAAGGATCTACAGCAGGTGAGTTAGAAAACTTAATAAAGATCAGCATTATTTAAACAACTTTGTGTTTTTTGAGGTTTAATCGATGACAGGTCCTGGTAATATGTCCTGAGTTTGAAACATTTTATTGGTGCATTTAATAGAGAATTGTATAAAATAAAAGAAAGTCATCCGGGTATTAAGTTGTTTTATTTTTATTTAACTATGTTGTAATTGTAACCATTAGGATCTAACATTATCTAACAAAATGGCTGCATGTTAAGTCACAGTAATGTTGTCTATGTGCAGGTTAAGCTACAAGGTTCAGTCCACAGTGAAATTAATATTCTGAATAAAGTTTGCTAAAATAAGGTCTTTAAATTTTCACCAAAATTTTAAGTTTATCTTAGATTTTAATGCTCCTCTGGTTACAATAGCATTTCTTCTATGAAAGCTTACCAGCCATAATAAAACAAAGAATTTAAAGAATAACTTTTTTTGTTTAATTTTTTTATGTCTCTCAGTTTACATGCAATAATTCTCAGCCCATATTTCTCCCTGCTTACATGTTTGTCACATTTTCTCCTCTCCTGCTCTTTATGCAGAGAATCACATGATCTGTTAATTTAGTGTCTTTTAGTAAACACTAGCCTTATCCCTGGCTGTAAAGACATATGATACATCTTTATTCAGTAAAATGTGCTTATTTTTTATATGTCATTTGAGATGAGTAATAATAGAGAAATGTCTTTTTCTTACAGTGACCCACTCTGAAGTATATCTACTCAGCATCTTCAGGAATAGAAAACTTTCCATCATACGTCTCTGTTGGGTTTGTGGATGGAGTTCAGATAAGTTACTGTGACAACATCATCAACAAAACCATCCCTAAACAGGACTGGATGAAGAATGTGACTTCAGAATATCCGAAGTACTGGGAGGAGGAAACAAAGACATGTCTGGAAAAACAGCGAATCCTCAAAGAAAACCTAAAAATTGCCAAAAAACGTTTCAACCAGACTGGAGGTTTGTTCATGATTCACTTTCTACATCTCACATATTTTTTAAGTTTCCCACATTATTTGTGTAATTATTATGTCAGTGATTATTTTACACATGATTTTAGTTATTGTGCATCTAAAAGTATTTACATCTGGATTTAATGTAAATACATTCAGTATTTTTCTGTGCTCCTCTTTATTTAAAAAATGATCAAATTATTGTCTTAAATTCCACAACATTACACTATTGGAACATAAAGCAGCAAATGTTTCATTATTTGTTGTTATTGATAAACTAAACAAACCATTTTTCAGAGGGTCATAAATGGAAAGTTAATATTATAAATTTATTTAATTTATTTGTTCAGATGTTTAGGAGTTATTTTTGAAAGAACAGTTTTAAACTGAAATAAACTTGGGACAAATTAATGGATTGTGTTTTAAATTCATTGATGTCTCTTTGTCTCAGGAGTTCATGTCTTTCAGCAAATCTATGGCTGTCAGAGGAATAATGAGACTAGAGAGATCATAGATTATGATAAGTCTGGTTATGATGGAGAAGATTTAAACACACTGGACCCAAATACACAACAATGGATCTCTCCAACACCACAAGCTGTCATCACCAAACAAAAGTGGATTAATGATAAATATGATGTAGAATATGAGAAGTCCTACTTAACTCAGATGTGTGATGACTGGCTGAAGAATATAGGGATTATGGGAGAAACTCATTGATGAGAACAGGTATTACAAAACGTGAAGTTTTTATGTGTGAACCTTATTTTGTATAAAAATGTTTCTGTCACATTTTCAATGCAGTTATTGTCTTTTACAAGTTTTTTCTGCATTTTCAGATCAGTCATTTGTTTCCTTCCACATCAGAAATAAACCAACTTTTCACAGTTTATTGAAATGTATATTGTTTAAATGAATAAGTTACAAATAAGTGATGTTTATCTTTATAAAGAAACTAAAAATGTTTCCTTTCTACATTTTGCAGTTTGTCCCTCAGTTTCTCTCCTCCAGAGGAATCTCTCCTCTCCAATCAGCTGCTTTGCTACAGGTTTCTACCCCAACAGAGCTGAAATGTTCTGGAGGAAAGATGGAGAGGAGATTCATGATGGTGTTGATAAAGGAGAGATTCTCTCTAACAATGATGGAAACTTCCAGATGAGCATTTATCTTGATCTCTCATCTGTCCCACCTGAAGACTGGATGAGTTATGACTGTGTGTTTCAGCTCTCTGGTGTTAGAGATGATCTTACCATCAGACTGGAGAAAACCAAAATCCTGACCAATAAAGGTGAGAATAAAATGAAAAATGAAAAAGTTAGAGCATAAACTTTAATGTAGAAATGCTTTAGTTTTTCAATTTATTAGTGCAGACCTTTACATGTTTGTAGTAAAGAACTTTAAATTGTACTTCCATTGCAGTTTCACTATTAACCATGGTTATGATGGAAAACATTTAAACACACTGGACCCAAATTTTAACGTGGTCCAGTTCACGTTAAAATTTTCACTTGACGTTAAAATGAACATTCAGCCATATTTGATAAATTACAGTTTTATTGAAAGTTTCATTTATTTCAGTTACTCAGTTTATGAGGTGAAACACATTTTTTAATTTACACATTTAATTCTGTTTTCAAGCCTTTGTTTATCCAAATTATGTTAATTTTCTGCTTATAGCTAAACTACACATTTAAGATTAAAATATTTAATCAAAGTAATAAAACATTTTTATCAGAAATGTGGTTTTTATTAAAAGTATGTTTAATACTTGTCTCAAGATTACTTTCAAGAGGTACTTTTAATTTGACAAACAAATCTCATTGTAATATTTAATCTAGTCTATTGAATATGATGGTATTGCAAAAAGAGTATAAAATAAATTAGCAACAGCAATTTGCTTTTATAAATGGATATAATGATTTATAGTCTAAATATGGACACTGTCTGATTGAAGATGTTAATTTTCAATTGTTTCTTATTTTGTTCACAGTAAATTCAACCTCCAGGCTCACCATCATCATTATTGTATCAGCAGTGATAATTATTGGATTCTTTGCTGTGATTGGATTCATCCTTTACAAAATGATAAAAGGTGGTGAGAAATCATTTGTTTTTTATTGTCTTAAGTTGTAGGTTTTGAGTTGAGCTGATAAAATACCTCTGTTAAATTAACTAAACATTCATAGTGATTTTGGTGAAAATGTAAAAATAAAAAATAAAATAAGAAAATAAATCTGAAACTTTTCACAGTTGTGGAAGCAAAAACCAAACAAAGTTAAAATAAAGTTTTTGCTTTCATGTCTTAATGATGTTTAAGTTACAGATTCAACAGAGGTTTCCTGTTTGCAGGAATGACAGCAATAAACACAAATAACATTTTATTAAAACCACAAGTAATTCCTGCTCATATCAACTTATTACAGCCTTAATGTCACAGATATTAAAGTGAATCTTCTCCAAAAAGAATGTTCACAGAACAGATTGAAGAAAAAAGTTGCATAAATTTCTAATGTTTAAAAATGCATTGCAAATTTTGAATCGTTCAATGATTCCCTAAATACCAGAAAATGTAACTATGACATTATCATATAGCAAATTATCACTAAATGAATTTCAAGTTTAATTAACAACATGAACAAATTGAAGGACGTTTATGTACAAAATGCTCTAAAGTCTGTTCTATAAATCTGGTGAGACATTTTGGAGTTTAAAAATTATGTCAAAGGATTTTAAAGGACAAGTAAAACTTCCTTTATTTACCGGAGTAACAAAATAATATGTGATATTTAAATAATGGCAACGTATCAATAGTCCCTGTATAACTCTGTACACATTTATTAAAAAGCTGAAAGTCGCTGGTGTGCAAATAATGACCAAAACTAAAACATGTACAAAACTGCAGCAATAATAATAATAATAATAATAATCATAATAATAATAATAATAATAATAATAATAATAATAATAATAATAATAATAATAATAACCAGCATCTCAGAAATAAACAAACTTTCTGATAGTTTATGGAAGATATTGAAAGATGTTTTAGTGGATATTTATTGAATGTATGTAAAATAGGGGAAGACAATCCTGGGTCACAGTAACTAATTGTTTTCAACATTAATAAATTTTATTTAACTTTATCAAGGGGGGAGAAACTACAGTGAAGCTGTTAAACATTTTCTATTCAAGGCTTGTCGAGTGTATTTAATCACTTAATACTTTATTTTATAATTTGTGAAAATATTTAATTGATTCTGTTTGCTGTTGATGTAATATTAAGAAATGATTTATCAATCTTTTTTTGTTTATTTCAGGATTATTCCTGCTGCCAGTAAGTATTTAAAATATTTGGTCAGATTTTTGTCGTCTTTGTCTCAGTTTGAAATGTTTTCTGTGATCCAAATTACATTTTAAGACTCATGAGACACTGAATGAAATGAAATCTCAATGATGCCTCTTGTCAAATTGTATTGTAATAATTACGAGACTGATTATTCTGTAGCTGAACTACATCAGAAAGATTGATTTTAGATCTTTAGTATTTAACAGTGAATTAAGAGTTATGATCTTATTACTAGATAAAAATGGAGGAAGGAGGGCAAATGAAAGGAGACAGAGTTATTAATACACAATAGAGAACAAGAATCAGTAGAACCAGGAACCACTATGTAAGCAAATCACATATTTTAATGTGATTTATGGGCGAAATCCATGTTGTAATTCATTTTCCCCCTTAAACAAACACAGACTAACAAACTCAGAGCCAAAGATTTAGTTTCACTAAAAGAGGATTTGTCTGATAGGGGTCTTACTGGTCTGCCAGTAAGAGACCTCGCTGCTTCAGTTAGAAGAAACTGAAAAACAGTCAAATTTACTATGTATTTACTATACACACAAAATGTTTTATTTCTATTTATCAAGATAACAGACTCACAGCCTTCACCTCAAACTAATGGAGTTCAGTCGACACTGAAGGCAATTCCTCATCTGATACACCATTACTACAACGGTAAGATCCTTTGTTAAAACTTGTTCCTTTTTCAGTTCCTTGTGTGTTGACATTGTGTTATTATACAACAGAAGAATCATATATTACAAATATTCTAATAGAATATTAGAATTTAAGGTTGAAGTGACAAACTATAAACCTCTACTGCTTTCAATATGAACAGTTAATTACTGAATGTTAAGTTAAGGATAAAAGCAGCTAAAAAACAATACTGTCTGTGAGTTAAATGTGGGAACTAAAGTTACTCTGCAAACTAAAAATATTTTTTTCTTTTTACAGAAGCCAAGTGCCTTCCTACTTATAAGTAAAACGCATTTCATAATTTTCTCCAAAATTTAAAATGTGTGATGCAGTCCAAAGATTTATTAATAATAAAATTATATTTTATGTTGTGTAAAACAAAATATCGGCTAACACTTTATTTCTCCTTTCACAGCAGTCAGTATCCGTGAAGTCCAAGAAATAATGATTCCCAAACAAAATGGATCTTCGGCATCATGCACACAGTGAGTTGTGCTGATCAGAGCGTTCAAAATAATGTTTGAGTTTTATTTACATCTCTGACAGTGTTGGTCTAAAAGAAATAGAAATATCCAGTGTTTGAAATCACTTTATTTATAGGTCAAGTGTTTTAGATGAATTTGAGTGACATCATATTAGACGTCATATAGAAAATGTCATAAATCTTCACACATGCAGATAAATAATGTAACTGGAAGAAACTGTGAATCAAAAATGAACAAAATATCAAGGTTCAGAAATATTCTTGATGCATTAATGAATCTTTATTTTTTACTTGTTTACAGAAAATGTAATTTTTATGTCTTGCTTTCTGGTTTGGGTAAAATGTTATTTCATTGAAACATTTTCATATTTTCCTCTGCAAACAGGGATTATGTGATCAATGTTTTAAATCAGATTGTTTTAAACAAGGTTCAGATATTGGCAAACTGGAGAGTGAGTTGAGTTTCATAGTTTGAGGTTTTATTTCTGATAAATTGTTGAAAAGTTTGTCAACTGAACAAAAAATGTTTAAAAAAATGTGGTTTTTGGAAACCTTTACTGTTTATGAAGCAAGTTCTTTCTGTTGTCAGAGGTTCCTTTAAATATTTGAATAATAATTATTGATGAGACAAATTTAAATAATAAAATACAGTCACACATAACTTTGTCTTGTACAAAGTAATTTCGTTCTAGTCTGACAAGTTAAAAACATTGCATTTATATCTGTAGGTAATTTGGTGCTGATCATTCATGATGTTTAAATTTGTGATTAAAATACGTCGTGTCCAGAATATTCCTTCTTTTTCTCATCAAGAAAGAGACGGACGCCAGCTTAAGGACCAGGAGGCATTAAAAAATTAAAGGACTTCAGATATTCTGTTATTGTTGTTGTTAAAGTGACTTTAGTGTTTATCTGGTTTGATCTGGTAAATTAGCATTAGCATCAGTCATTTAACCTTCTGCATGTTACATTTCTTTTTGTATGACTTTCAGGTCATATTGCACTGCATGCTGTTCTTCATACTAATGTGTTAATTTATGTTTACAAAGTTTTATATCAGAATAAAGTGACATATATAATCAATGAATCTGTTAAGCTAAACACAAAAAGGCAGTTACATTATTTTGTCCATCATGTAAATATTTTACTTGTTTTACTTTGTGAGTTTTTTCTCTATTTGTTTTATTTAATGATCTAATTGTGATCCTCAAATAATTTCTTTTGCTGTTTGTTCTTCAGTATATTTGTTACTTGTGTTTTGAAAAGTATTTTTATCTTATGCTGACTTTTACATTTTGTCTTTAGTTGTGATTAATAAAACTGGTCAAGGTAACATTGCTTTATTTTGCATTTGAATATTAAATTAAATTTCTGTTTGTTCTGAAGCCAATGATTATGCAAAGTGGAAACTTTACAATAAATAAAAGCAATTATGCTTTTATTTGAGAATCTTACCATTTACCTCTTCAGAGGGTTCATTTCATCACTTCCTTCAATATTATGACTTTGGTTTCAAAGTAAATAATTCTGGCTTCTGATGTTCAGTGTGAACTTGTAGGTTTATTAAATCATCTGTTTGATATTTTGTTAAATAAATGTTTTAGTGCCAATGTTTTCTTAATCTAAACACCAAAAGCACAACTTGACAATCAGCAACCAGGATAAAACTTATTTCTCTAGGAGATATTGGGAAGTGATGAGTGATGTTCCTTCACCCCAAGGGAGAAACGTCACAACTTGTTGGATTGAATTGTTAATGGGAACCACAGAGAAGTTAAAACCACCAAGTTAGATGGAAGAAAATGAGCAACAGAGCAAAAGAAAAAGGGGGATAGAAGAAAACAATTGTTGATGTAAGTGGTAAAATAAACAACAATCTCCAACCAAATTTACATCAAACTGTGAAAAAATAAGTAGAGAAAAAGCAACAGCAATTTATCACTTTTTATGAGTGAAATAAAATTCAGCTGAAATCAATAAAAAAATACTTGAGGTTAAAAAATGTGCAAAAATAATGAGCAACAAGATTTTAACTACATCTAATTCCACTAAGTTTTTCAAATGTGAAATGAATGCGTGTTAAAAAATAACATGGTGCTTTGGCTCATGACACTAATATTGACATCTGTGACCAGTAGGATAAAGTGGATAAAATCTACTGGAGTTGAAAGACCAAAAGTAATAAAATAAAAGTAACACAAAGCAATAAAATCTTTGTATGGAATCCTTTAATGAGGATTCCATTAATGAGGAGACCATGTATTAGAATAAAGAAAGAAGATATTATATTGAGGGTTAGATTTGGTCACACTGGTTTAAATAACACACTTAAAATAATCTCCAAACATACTACAGGTTGTATTTATTGTGGCCAAATGGAAACAATAGAACATATTGTCTTTAGATATTCAAATAAGAATGAAAGAAAATTAGAGGTATCCAGCAAAAGAATTTTTACATTCAAAAAAAAAAATGTCGGTAACAAAAATATGTAATTTTATTCTACTGGCTGTGTATTTAAAGTATTTCAAGATTTATTGTACTTAATTTAGGAGCAGCATTTATATTCAGTGAAATTTAGGTGAACATCAATTGTTGAAAAGCTTAATGTACCAAACATAATATTTTCTCCATTGTTACCAACAAAAAAAAACATGGGTAAGAGGCTAAGAGGAAGATAATATTTGAGAAAGATTTAGATTTGATCATACAGGTTTGAACTGCAGTCTGAACACAATGGGAAAGCATAAGGGGCTTCAATGTGTTTTGAAAAGTGTTTTTATCTTATGCTGACTTTTACATTTTGTCTGTAGTTGTGATTAATAAAACAGTGGTCAAGGTAATATTACAACTGACCAATAAAATAGAAACATGGACTAAATGACGACAAGATGCAAGTTGGTTAATTAAGAAAGAATTTATGGATTGTATAACATCAAAAAAATACATATTTATTATACGTTTTGTGAGCAAAACGTACAGTTTAATTTGGTTGAATTACATCGTTTAAATTCTTTTCAGCTTCTTATAAAATCAGAACTTTGACGTTAAAAACAATTCTGGTTCATACTCCAATCCAACAGGTGGCGGTAGTGCACTGTTGAAACCATTGCCAACCGCCAGAAAAATCTAAGAAGAAGCGGAAACGAAGAAGACGATCTTTTCCTTCAAAACAAACAAAAACAAAATTTGTCGACTAAGAAAAAGTTTCTTTTTAGAGACACCTAAATGCGATCATTTTTTAAATTAATAAACAGATCTTATAAAATAGAAACGGAAATGTTTCCAACCCCTTGCACTAATAAGCACCAGATATAAATGTTTAAATGCTTTTCTTCGTGTTCCTGTTTCTTCTTGGGCTACAAAACGTGATGGCAGGTGAGTCACACATTTGATCATATCAGACCAAAACAGCGTTTATGGGTCACTGTAGTCATCTTAGAAAAACATTCATGGTATTCATGGTATTCATGGTATTTATGTTTACTGGAGCTTTCAAAGTGAAAGTGAAAGCAGTCAAAACAAATACATTTAAAAACTGTAATCTAGGTGAGACTTTCTTGTAGGATTTCAGAATGAAAGCCTCACAAACACGGTGCAGTTGTTCATGTAAATCATTTAACAAGAAAACTTCCGGCTTTCTTTGTCTGATTTCTGTCCAGAGTATCGTCTATAGGTGTCACTATAACATCTGATGTGTCATTTCAATGTAAATGAGTGATCCTGTTGCCTTTATGTAACCACAGATACTGAAAATTATTTCAAAAAGTAACAGTCTTTCTCAGTTTTATTTAATCCAGATTACCTGTGTGTAGACTACCCCATCTATAATATATTACTGTAAGGTTTCATGTTTTTGATGCAGAATTTAATTATTAAAACTCTGTAAGCACTGTCCATCTGCCTATGAATAATCACCACATCAATATCCAGAGTAAAAGCAAACTGTTTGTAATCTCAGGTTGCTTTATACTCTGATTAAAAGCACAGCATTTATAAAGTCGCTGCAACATTACCAAACATATCTGATGAGAAAATTCAAATTAAAGTCACCTGAATATGTGAATAACATCAATTGTTATCAATGATTTGTAACTCTAGTAAAAGGCAGCTATTGGTTAGTATCAGCTATTGTTTGTACTAGAGCTGCATAATCTATTATGAATATATTGTTATTATAATATCATTATGTCCAGTGTTTATATTTTAAAGTACTGTCTGAAGAGCAATAGTTGCTGGATGATTTTAAGAGTTTCTAAGTTGTACTTTTCATGCAGATGTAATTTTTAATCGGTTGAACAGAGTTTTATGTCAGCAAGAGTTCAAACCTGCTGACACCAATGACATTGTCAAAAACGTTAGAAGTCGCATAGAGTAGGAGGCACAGGTTAGAAAGAGAGGAAAGGAGAAAATAGATATTTATGGCTCCTGATATTGTCATCACAATATTTACTAATATTGCCACTGCAAGAGTTTTTAATATTGTGCAGGTTATAGAATTCAAAATGTATATATGTCAAAAACTGTTCATGTAAAACTTCAAAATTTGTACCATACCCAACATTGGCTGTCACAAATGAGTCGTGTTATTTCAAAATTTACTGTTGTTCTTAGCTAATGAACATGAGCTCACTATTTGAAAAGGCATTTGTTAGTAATTATATGTCCTGGATGTATAGTTTCTTGTAGTTTCAGGGCTGCCTCTCATATTAATGATGTCTTCTCTGCTGAGAGTGTAGTCTCTTCTGCTTTTGTTGGGGCAGCAGCATCAGAACCAGGAACCTTAAACGGCACAAGAACCCGATAAAGAAGGCTGGTTATATGGTATTTTAATGAAGAGTGTTTTGTCACTCTGGATTTAGTTGAGATAAAAATAAACAAGCAAAAATTATTTCCAACAAATTGTAATATGTTTAAAAATGGTCAAAGCAATGTAGCAATAACCTTGATTTAATTACTTCATTAATTTATTTAATATTTTTAAATTTATTTTAAAATTTTCTGTTAGGATCAAAGGATAGCCTTTTGGTTTCATGAAGTGACTTGTGAAAGTTGTTGGTTCATGGAATTTTTACATCGAAACTGAACCATGTAAAAATTTAGTTGGCTTAAAATTGATTTTTGGACAGAAAAATAATCATGAATTTATAAAATTAGATATGTTTTTGATGTCAGTTTTATGTCAGAATATGATACCTTGAGTTTAAATTAGTTATGAGTCATACTGGAGTTGAAATTGTAAAATATTCAGAAATGTGCTTTTTCTTACAGTGACCCACTCTCTGAAGTATTTCTACACGGCATCTTCCAGAATACCAAACTTCCCATCTTACGTCTCTGTTGGATTTGTGGATGAAGTTCAGATAAGTTACTGTGACAACATCATCAACAAAAACATCCCTAAACAGGACTGGATGAATGACCTGAGATCAGAATATCCAAACTACTGGGAGAGGAAACGGAGACATGTCTGGCTAAACAGCGAACCTTAAAAAAAAACCTAGAAATTGCAAAACAACGTTACAACCAGAGCGGAGGTTTGTTTATGTTTCACTTCTTAAACCAAACATATTTTCCAAGCACTGAATTCGCAAAGATCCCCTCACAGATTTTTGCAGATTATCATGAAAGTGTTTATTTTAAACATGATTGTTAATTGTTGTTTATTTGAAGGTCTTTGCCTTTTTGCTTAATAGAGTCAAATGTAAACTGTAACTTCACCATATATTTCTTTAATGACAAATAAAAAGTTAGAATATTTGCTCAAAATATATGTTTGAAGGTTTTATGAATCAGTTTGTCACAATAAAATCCACATTTAGGGTATTTAATAAATTGTATGTTAAACACTCGGGTTAAATAAAGTCTCTCTCTGTCTCAGGAGTGCCCATCTTTCAGCAGATGTATGGCTGTGAATGGGACAATGAAACTGGAGAGGTCAAAGGTTATGATCAGTTTGGCTATGATGGAGAAGATTTTATTGCACTGGACCAGGAAGGAGAATCATGGATCGCTCCTAAACCACAAGCTTTCAACACCAAACACAATTGGGAAAATAACAGAGTTGCACAAAAACTTGAGAAGATCTATTTAACTCAAACATGTGTTGAGTGGCTGATGATGTATGTGAGATATGGGAGCAGCTCACTGATGAAAACAGGTACTGCAACAGAGCATGACATGAAACATTAAAGTAGTGTAAACTACACAACTATGTTTGTGTATTAACAAAAACTCTGCCACGGTTAACCATGTAAATACTGACCTGGGTATTTACTACATTGTCATGTCACTGATGTTTTCTATGATAAATCTGCAGAAAGTAACTTTTACAAAAGTATGTTTTTTACTTATTTATTGAAAAGCAGGAGCAGAGCAGTCGTCTTCTCTGAGTGTGGACCAAAAACTTGGACAAAATCATGTGCGACTTTTTATTTCTCCCCAAACTTTGGCTGGAACTGATGATCGTTATGCTCATGTTGGATAGCTGCACATATCGGAGTCAAATGTTAACTGCAGTTGTGCTGCTGGAGCATCATAAACTGAACCTGTTATAAATGGATCATCTTTGATTACAGCCACATGCTGCTCCTCTGATTTGACTCGTTTTTCAGGATGTTATTCATTGCTTTAAAGGTCCATAAATGGTCCTTTTTGAACCAGATACTATCAAATAGTAACTAAATCTATGAAATAACAATTGCTACTCAAATTGTTACTTATATTAAATTACAATATTCCAGAAGTCATAAGCAAATTCTGGTTGAACCCAAAACAAATTCTCAACGCTCCTTGTTATTTTGCTGTCATCTGAACAAAAACACAATTCAGTAAAAAACAATCAGTCAGAACCAGGGGGAGGATCTTAGCGCAATCAATCACCCTGTGTACGTGCTGCTCACACCTTGTCTTTTCTCTCTGTTATGCTACAGTATCTCATGAATGCTTGGTTGTTTTTGGTGGAGTAGGTTTTTTTTCCCACTGATTATCTGTCCCATACCCAGGGGCACCACCAGGAATCTTGGGCCCCATGACGAAAACTTTAATCGGGCCCCCCTGCATAATTATTATTGTTAAAGTTTCTTGAATCTATTTGACCCATCAAAAGCATCACAATTTTAAAGGCTTGCAACTGCCTTGATGTCTTTGGTCCAATTCCAATACTAACATAATATTTACTGCTCATGAATTTCATATGCAACAGTCCACAAAAAAATACAGCAAATAGGCTGCTTAATTTTTTTATTATTAGTTTTAGCTCATTGAAATGTCTCTTCCGACTTACAACAGTAACAGACAACGTGCAAATATACATACAACAATCCCGACTTCTCAAAAAAATGCTATGTAGTTGCATTTTATTCAAGCTGCAGTTTATAACTTTAATAAAAAATATGTTTTCTCTATATTTGTTAAAGCTGTCACCATGTTGTGACAGTAATCTGTGAAAAAAATCACCAGCTTCTATCTGAACTTCTATCGCTTCTAATACAACTTTTTGTTTTTTCTCAAATATAAAACAGGGAGAAGGCAGAGAAGCTCTTTTTTTTTTCACAGAATATGAATTATACTGTACTGTCACGACGTAGTTACAGTTTTAACCAATATGTATAAATACCAGACTGCAGTTTTACCTTCCCTTTATCAAAAATCTACTTATCAAGCTTTCAGTGGATTTTGAAATATTGAAATACTCCAACTGCTACCATGGAGGTAACATGGAAAGTGTCAAGATGGCAAAACTGGAAATGAATATTAATTACAAATGATCTTTAAAGCTTATAATAACTACAAGTGTTTAATTTATCTTGAGATCTTCCCTCAGTGTCTCTGCTCCAGAGGAATGGCTCCTCTGCAGTCTGCTGCCACGCTACAGGATTTTATCCTAACAGAGCTGAGATGTTCTGGAGGAAAGATGGAAAAGAGATTCATGATGGTTTGGCTAAAGGAGAGATCCTCCCCAACAATGATGGGACCTTCCAGATGAGCATTTATGTGAATCTTTCATTTGTTCCGTCTCCTGACTGGGCAAAGTATGAATGCGTGTTTCAGTTCTCTGGTTTTAAAGAGAATATTGTCACCAGACTGGAGAGAAGGAACATCAGGACAAACGAAGGTGAGGACAAAGTGAAAACTAAAAACTCAACAAATGCTATTTAGTCATGTAGATTTTCTTTACGGTAAAATTCAGTTTTACTTCTCGTTCATAATCACATGTTCCTATTTGGAAGACAAAACTAAAAGTTACAACTACAGTAAATGTATTCAAAAAAATGAAATAGCAAATAGTTGCAGTATTGACAGTCTTACTGGTTGTAACTTTTGCACATGATTGTTGAGCACACAGGTTTTATTTTTGTCTTGTTTCTCTCCTCAGTAAATTTGACCACTTCACTCATTGCTGCTGCTGCTGTGGTTCTGATGATTCTGGTTCTGGTCATTGCTGTGATTGTAATTCTTTGTCCAATAAAGAACAATGGTAAGAAAGCAATATATTGTTTAATTTTAGACATGTGGACCTTATCAATAGTCTATATGTTACTCTGCTTCATTAGGTAAAAAATGACCAAACGGAATAGAGTGAGGAGAAAATGACCCGGGCATCGCAGGAGAAAATAAACTTTTCATAGTTTATGTGAGATAGTCCAACATGTCTTAGCAGGACATTTGTTGAATGTGTATAAAATAGGAAATGTCTAGTTAGAATAACTCATAAACTCTAATTGTTTTCAACATTAATAAATGTGGAAAATGAGCTTCAGTAAAACTTAAAGGTGCTTTCAAACACAGATAGTACTGAGGTACCAATGGGTCTATTTTCTGATATCCAGGGCTTGTCAAGAGTAATTACATATTTTATAGTCAGAACAAGCCAGTGGTGCAAAATGTGGGTGTGCCTCATGGGGGCGCTGCGCTAGAGGGACGTCAAATTAAAGTAAAGATTATTTTTCTAAGAGGGCCTTCAGAAACAATGTGAACATATAAGTTAAATCTAAAAACTTGACAAAAATTTATTTTGCTTCTGAAAAAATAAAAAAAACTATTTAATATTTGAATTTTTTCTAGTCACTCAATATATCACGCCTGAGACTTCACCTTTCCAAGCCAATTCTTCATCAGACACACAAAGGTAAAGTCCAATTGTTGCAGCTTGTTTCTGTTTCATTTCCTCTTATGTATATATAACTCACACAGCAAATGCAACAAATGCTATTTAGTCATGTAGTTTTTCTTTACGGTAAAAGTTTTACTTCTCGTTCATAATCACATGTTCCTATTTGGAAGACAAACTAAAAGTTACAACTACAGTAAATGTATTCAGAAAATGAAATCGCAAATAGCAAATAGTTGCAGTATTGACAGTCTTACTGGTTGTAACTTTTGCACATGATTGTTGAGCACACAGGTTTTTATTTTTGCCTTGTTTCTCTCCTCAGTAAATTTGACCACTTCACTCATCGCTGCTGCTGCTGTGGCTCTAAAACAACAATCAGTTGTTTTAGATGGAGGCCTGAGTTCTAAACATATTAGAGACTCACAGTTTTTGAACTGGGAGGAAGTCGGAGAGAACCTGCCAGAAAGCCCACAGGCTTGGATTCGACCTGGAAGACTTTTTTTTTTCTTTTAATCAATATATGTGATGTAAAAAAAATATTTTATATATATTGCCTTTATTTTTGCTTAAGCTGAACTCATTTGATAAGTGTAGAAAAACCCAGAACCTCCTGGATGAAGAGGAAGAAATTCTTTACCATTAAAAACTCTGAGTTGCAGAAGACAAAGCAATGATGAGATATTTTCTGTTAGATCTTATAATGACGGGTTTGGAGAACGACTGATGTGTATCAATACCATGTATTCCTCAGTGGGAGAAAGCTGCGTTTTGGTGCCAGCTCCTCGCTCATCACAAGTAAAAAACATCTTAATAATGAAACTCTTTTATTTGGCATTACTTTGCAGCCGCATGTCAGAATTTTTCTTACTCAAAGTGAGCAGCTTCTTGTTGCAAAGCAACAATAGTTTTCCCACTATATGTAGAAAAACACCATCAATCAATAAAGACAGAACATTTAATGACCTATTTAGACAATTTATCTGAAAAATGTTTTTTTGTTGGGTTATACTTTGATCTATATGTACAGCACTTTTGTAAAAGTAACATAGGTACTTGTTTGTGACTTTGTGTTTGCAGAACACACAATACCGCCTCTTTAATAAATAATAGTTGATGACGTTGCAGTTGTTATGCTTTCTCTCTAGTTTCATTCTTCTTCCTTCAGTGGAGAAATTAAGTGGATTATTTTGGGTGACAAGCAAAACTGGATCTATCTTTATGTTTGTGTTTTCGGTCCTACTGCTTGTGCAGCTCAGTGCTGTAACAGGTAAGTTATTAATCCTGCAATTATTAAATTACATGATCAGGGTTTAAAGTTTCTAGATTCTTCTGTTTGCAACAGAAGGTGGCTGAAAGTGTAAAGACTGTTTTGTTATGAATGACTCCAGTTCAAGGATCAATTCACAAGTTGTTTAAAAATATTTTTATGCAGTTGTGTTTCTGTCATGGTGGCTGGAAAGGGAGGCTCTGGAGTTGTGTTGACTCTACTATGTCCATATTCAGGCATTGCTGTTAATTACAATGCAGCTCAGCTGCTGCAGATCTGCCACCAGCTCTTCCTGGGGTGTCAACAGTTTCTAAACATTTATGTTGCTGCATTAGACCAATAGTTACAGCAGGAAATATCCACCACCAGACAGAAAATGACCTACTCAGCACTGTCATGTAAATTTACTGAAGTCAAAGTTTGGAAAAGAGATGAATGCAGCTGTCTCTTCTGTGAAAATAGATTGGAGTTGTACAGCAGTATTAAACAAGGATGTGCAGATTCTAGATGACGCTTTTCTACCCAACTCAGATGTTTCATGAGGATCTACTGTTGAGCCATTTGTCTGCAGTTGATGTAGCCAATTTTGGATTTTGGTTCATCATACAGTGATATTCCAACACATGTTCATTTCATAGAGCATGACATTAATATCAGACATGTGCAGCCCATCCATCAGTGTTTTTATCACATCCCTCCAGAGAAGCATAAATTCCTCAGATGGCAAAGAGAATTTATCTAGAATATCTATTTTTAATCTGGAGAACCAGGCAGGTTACAGACTATAGGAGGATGTCACAGTAAAGGTGCAGTTTTATCAAAATACATAGTCTTAAGATGAAAATTGACAGAGGGCCAAAGTTTTTTAAAATTTTTTAAATTGCAATAAGCTTTAAATAAAGAGGCTTATTACACAAGAAAATGTTTCTCAGTCCCTCAATTAGCTTGTAACTTAACTCTGTTCAACTTATCAACTTAAAGTCAACAGTTTTGAATCATTAGAACCTTTTATTTTATTTATGATCAAAAGAATAGGTCTTTTGTTGCAGTAGTCAGAGACCTCTTATTATTATTATTATTATGATTAATGGGAATTATAGAACAATTAAAAGAGCATTTCTGCATCACTGACATGGGGTGTGGACTGGGACATGTAATTAAAAAAGAGAAAAAACAATTTTCTTCAGAATAAATTGGTGCAGCTTAAAGTTCTGAAATGCTAATCAATATAAACAAACTGACTGGCAGTTCTGGTGAGGTTGACCAGGGAGGCCAATCAGATTTCAGCAGACAGTCACCCCTATGGCCACAAACCTTTATGCAACAATATGTTGGACCTGCTGAGTATGTGAGTAAACTTGATTTGCTGCTCAAAGGTCACTTCCAGGTCTGCAAGAGGTGTTTAAAGAATATCTGAAATACCATATCAGTGCCATATATTTATTTATTGTTGGTAATGAAACATGAAAAATGAAAAAAAATATGTATTTGATGGAAAATGTTGGTAACTGTATTCAATTATAAGCAGAATTAGAAAAATGAAGAAATGGTTTGAAGCTTTAGGTTCAAATCCTACAGAAGGATTGAAAATGTGGGCAACAAAAAATGGCAACATGTCATAAAACTTGCAAACAAAAAGCTGCAGCAGAAAGTCAGGTCATTATCAAAGCTAATCTGTGTTCAGGACAGGTTGGTTGATTTCTACATTTATTTGTTTTTTCTTATCTCTTCACTACAAATTTATTGAAACCAGTTTCAAGTTGCAAAAATGTAAATTGTAATATAGTTTCTGCTTGCAGGGCCTCATTCTCTGCAGTATTTTTATACTGCGTCATCAGGAATCCATAGTTTTCCACAGTTTGTGGCTGTTGGTCTGGTTGATGGAAACCAGTTCATGTATTATGACAGCAGCAATAAGAAAGCGATTCCCAAACAGGACTGGATGAAGAAAGTCACAGAGGATGATCCACAGTACTGGGACTTTCAGACAGATGAGTTATATGAAACCCAAATGTCCTTCATGAACAGCATTGAAGCTGCAAAGAAACGATTCAACCAAACTGGAGGTTTGTCAGTTTACTACTGTTAGAATATCAGCTTGACTTATTAATAAGATTATGGCATTTTATTCATTATTATTAGGACTGTTTAGAGATCAGTGTGACTAAAACCATAACATTCCAGTTATTTCATTCTCTTCTTAAACTCACATAGAGAATCTTTAAGGAATTGCACAAAGTCATTTGCTTGCAAGATGTATTTACACAGTTTAAATGAGCCATAATGTTAAATTATTTCTTCAATGTTTGGTGAAAATTTGTTTTTTAAATTTCAAAGCAATGGCAGAAATAATCTGGCTTGTAGCCTCTGTCCTGCTGTTTGTGGTGAAGCAACTTTCACACTGGATCTCATGATGTTTCTGTTTCTCAGGTGTTCATATCTTCCAGAATATGTATGGCTGTGAGTTTGATGATGAATATGAAGATGTTCAAGGTTGGGAAAACTTTGGTTATGATGGAGAGGACTTCATTGCATTTGACCTGAAATCAGAGAGATGGTCTGCTCCAGTACATCAGGCTTTAATCACCAAAAACAAATGGGACAACGACAAAAGGAAGACGGCAGAGATAAACAACTACATCACCCAAACTTGTCCTGATTGGCTGAAAAATGTTTTGGATTATGGGAAGAACTCTCTGCTGAAAACGGGTAGAACAATGCATAGGTTAGTATTCAACACATTTTATTTATTTATTGCAATGACCTTTTTGTCACATGTTTATATGTCTCACATTGCTGAATGTTTTTGCAAATTTTCCATGTGGATTTTGTGTTTAGTACTAAACCTATGAAATTATACAATCAGTTATCAAGTCTGAGGTTTTGAGGACTTTTTTTTCCCCTGAGCTTTACTGTTTTTTACTCTTATTTTTTTATTTCTGCTTTTTGTGCTGCCACCTTTTAGCCAACATTACTATTGTATTTTTCTCCTCAGATGTTCCTTCAGTGTCTTTCCTCCAGACGTCTCCATCCTCTCCAGTCTGCTGCTTCGCTACGGGTTTCTATACCAGCAGAGCTGAGATGTTCTGGAGGAGAGACGAAGAGGAGATTCATGATGGAGTAGATAAACGGGAGATTCTTCCTAACAATGATGGAACCTTCCAGATGAGCGTTTACATCCATCTGTCATCTGTTCCTACTGAGGACTGGACAAAGTATGAATGTGTGTTTCAGCTCTTTGGTCTCAAAGATGACCTTGTCTTCAAACTGGAGAAAACACAAATACTGAGCAACTATGGTGAGAATAAAATGAGAACTGAAGGATAATTTGGGGAAATAAACTGCAGATTAGAAGTGCTGCATTTTTTTTATTTTTATACATGAATATAGAAGTATGCATTTTTTATATTGATTTATCAGCTACTTACAGAAATATAAATAACAAAGCAACATGTATAGACTATAAATAATCTTACTGATTGATTTTAGCACATGGGGATTAATGTGCATATTTTTATTTTCTTTCCACAGAGTATTCACATAAACTCATCGTTCCTTTGACCATAGTTATTGTAATACTTTGTCTTGCAACTTTGGCTCTGTCTGGATACTTTTACATGTTGAAAAAGAAAAATGGTGAGAAATCAACAAATTTTGTTTTGATTATTTTAGATTTTGAGCTGAGTTTAAAAAAAAAAGCCAAACTTAAATAATAATAATTAATAATAATGTCATCTTCCTAAAATAATGGCTGAAGTTATTATTATCCAAAATGATTTTTGGAAACAAAGGTGGTGATTTTTTATTATTATTATTTTTTTTGTGCCAAAGATCTTAGCAAGAAAATAGAAAAAAAAAAAAAAAAAAAAAAACTTGGACATTATTTTTGGAAGGTGGCGATACCAACATGTAAATAAAAATTCACAATTTTACAAAATAAAAGTAAAACCTGAAAACTTTATACATAGTTTTAATATAACAGCTCGTATTGTGAATCATTTTCAGGTAAAAACAGTCGCATTATAAATGGTGAGTAAAACATGTATAAAATACTTATTTGCTAAAGTTTCTGTATTTTGATAAGAACCTTTTTCAGCAGGTTTTTGTTGTAACATTCAGTTTAAAGCAGAATCTTCATAATAATCTGTTTAACTTCCAGCTGTGGACGTTTGTGTGGCTCAGGAAGAAATGCTTTCCAAAAATGAAATGAAGTGAGTTATTTCACAAATAAAACAAATTCACTTTCAAAGAACTGCAT